GCAGGAGGTCCGCAGTCCCCAGGGGGGCCCGGCGCAGTCCGCTTGGGTCAGGACTGCCGGGCCGTTGGGGATGCTGGGGTCGCCGCGCTAGGGAGGGGCTGGGCGCCCGTCCCCGAGGGCGCGGCCTGCCTTTGGGGCCCGGGCTCTGTTTCCTTCGGTGTCTGAGCAGGTGGGCCCCGGTCGTACAGCTCTTTCCTTCCCCACCCCTCATCGCTCTTTCTACCGACGAGTTGGCCCCTGGGGACAAGAGTAGGTCACTTTGGTGCCAGGGACAGCCCTGCTGCAGGGCCGGCAGGATGCCGGCGCATCGGGCCCAAAAGGAACCTTCCGCGGTTACCCCCCCACCGCGCGCGCCTGCGCACACGCGCCCGGGGAGACCTGGGAAACGGGGCCTCCCGGGCGGAGAGGTGATCACCCAGGAGCAGGTCAGAGCCAGACTTGAGGTCTCCTGACTCCACACCAGTGGCCTGACCGCTGCTTGCGGCCCTCGCTACGCAGGGCGTTTCGGTGAGGTCAGCCCAGTCTTAGCAGGTGAGGATTGGGCAAGGCCGAGAAGGGGGCAGAGCAGAGGCTTGGTGGTCAAGAGACCAGAGTGCGATCAGCACCAAGCATTGTGCTAGTGTGACTTTGGGCAGATTATTCGGGCTCAGAAAAGCCAATTCATTTTGACTCAGATCCTACATGGACTTTGGGTTTCGGAGACTGTAACTCTTTATGGGAGTAGAAAGCCTCTTCTGTCCCCCTCGGAGCAGCTGGTGGTTTTGAACAGCTGGCCTTGTGGTTCCCAGCTCCACATCCCACCAGCGCTCCTGAGTGTATTTGTTTAATCACCTGTAAAAATGGCTACTCCCTCTGCCCCCAGGACTTGGAGGCAGATGAAGGGTGTGATTGTTTAGGGCCTGCTCACAGGAAGCGCCCAGCCTGCTCAGGACACAGCCTCCTCCTCTTACTTTCCCCTGAGACCAGCCTGGCCTGGCCTCAGATGGGAAGTGATGCTCTGCAGAAGGGAAGAGGGGAAGGGCTGTCAGCTGGGGGAGCCAGTCTTCCGGAGGTGATTGGCTCTCCCAGCGCCTTTGAAAAATGAGACCGCCTGAGGGCCAATGGGGCAGTGAGTGGCTTGGAGATCAGATTCAGGTGGGGCTCTGTGTAAGGTGCAGTGGTCGGGACCCATGGGCGCCTTGGCATTTGCCTTTTTGCAGGTGTTAACTGTCTGGCTTACGATGAAGCCATTATGGCCCAGCAGGACCGAATCCAGCAAGAGGTGAGGGGTGGGGAGAGGAGAGGAGGGTGTGGGAGGCAGTGGCTGGGCCTAGGGGGGGTGGGGCAGGGATTGGGCCGCAGGCCACTGGGCCCTCTCCACTTGGAAGCCCCCTCCTCCCCCGGCTGGGGACCTTTAGGTGTTGAGAGCCTTCATGTGGGCGATCTGGCTATTGGCCAGGGCTCCTGCCAGACCACAATGGCTCTTGTCCCCCCGCACCCACAGATCGCTGTGCAGAACCCGCTGGTCTCGGAGCGGCTGGAACTGTCGGTCCTCTACAAGGAGTATGCCGAGGATGACAACATCTACCAACAGAAGATCAAGGTGGGGGCCTGGCCCATAGGTGCAGGCAGGGGGGTGGCTGCTTCAGAGGGGTCTGGAGACCTCTGGCTGCTCCTTTCTAATGGACCAACTTGGGGCTCGAAGAACCTTGATTGACATATTGACTCTGAGCCCTTCGGCTGGTCTGTAATGTGGGGTGCTGCAAACGTCTCCTGGGGCAGAATCCTTGTCTTCCCCCCAGGAGACACCCAGTCCCCCTGAGCAGGCTGCTGTAGAGCTTCTAGCCCAAAATGCGCCAGGAAGAAAGGCCTGGTATCCTGTTTCTGCAGAGCAGCCTTTAGAGACTCCCGTGGGTCCCAGTGGTCCGACCCTCCACTGATCATGGGAGTGGCCCCAGACCAGGCAGAGTTTGGGGTCCCTGGGGTCACAGGGTCACCGTGAGTGGAGGGGACGACATGGTTGTATTGAACAGTTCTAGCCTTGGATGGTTGTGAGAGGGAGGGGGAGGTTGCGTATGTGGGGCCTGCGTCAGGCTGCCGGAGCCCTGTCCCTGTGCGCTCACGTGGGGCTGACATGCTGGCCAAGTGTGACCCACAGTCCTCTCCTGCCGAGGGACCTCCCTCGGGACTTCTGTCACTTACTCAGGTGAGTGGGCTGGCCTCTGTGTTCATGTGTGAGATGGGTGCTTCCTGTGACATGGGGGCTGTGTCAGTGTGAATAGTCAGGGCCCGGGCCCTGATCAGCTCTGCTTTCCCCCTTCATAATCAGGTGCCTGGAACATGCTGCCTAGACACGTCTTTGCCGGGATCTCTTTCCTGGGAGGTGGGTCTACCGCAGGCCCAGGCAGCCAGCGAGTGGGCCTGGAGGGCCCTGGGACAGGTGGGAGTAGCCACACCTGCCTCGCCCTTGTGTGAGAGGAGCCAGAATGGGTGCCAGCATGCCCTGGGCGGTCTCCTGACTTCTGTCGTGAATGGTTCAGCGGCTCGCGAGTCAGCTCTCCCCGTGGCTGTCGCTGTAGGACAGCATGGCACTGCCCACTCCTGCGCCATCTTCCAGATTGTGCACCACCTCAATCTGTCCCTGAGGCTGCTGGTTGGACATGTCACCCAGGGTCTCCCTCTCTGTTTTCTTTAACAACCCTGCCCCCGAGTTGATGCCCACTCACAGGAGGACAGGGTAGAACTGCCCGATTCTTTGTGGGAGCAGAATGCCCATCTTTGCCCCATGGTTTTGAACCACTGACTTGCCGTCGGCAGCCCAACTCGAAACCACTGGACCACCAGGGCTCCTTTTGGCTTCCAGTAAAAGGACAAAGCCCCAAACCAACTCCCTGCCATCGAGCCTGTGTTGGCTCCTAGTGACTCCGTAGGACCAGGTGGAACTAACTCTTTACGGGAGTAGACAGCCCGGCCTCTCTCCCCGGCTTTTCATAGCTGACAGCTCATTCAAACGAGTGTTATGTGGGCCAGCAGCACACCTGCAGGCTGTCACAGCCCTTGGTCTGCTAGGGCCCCAGGCTCCAGAGCGTGGGCAGTTTCTCAGGCCTGCTGAGGGGTGAGAGGTGAAGGCACCTGACATACCAGGGCTGGAGTCCCAGCCTCACGGGCAGCTGAGTGATCCTGAACACTGACCTCAGAGCCTCCGATGTCCTCTCTGGAAGACATTGGGGGTGGTGTGTGTGCGTGCACAGAGACAACAACGGGGCCACGGTCCGCACAGTGCTGTGGTGTGGTGGCTTCTCCTCCAGGTGGCAGATTGGTGGGACGCCTCTGTTCAAAGGCCCCCCTGTTCCACTAGGCCCCTCCTAATAAAGCCTGATTACTGAGACCCACCTGTTCCCCCATGGATTCCCTCAGCTTGTGTTTGAGCGGCTTCAGGACCGCAGCAGTCTGGGCCGAGTTCCCTTAC